TTCTGAAGATGTGAGTGAGCATTCATGAATGGGGCATTGAACAACAGCTAAAACACTTGACTCACGAAATCGTAATGACACGATTGCAAACAAACCATACCTCGGGCGGGGATAGAACCCGCGATCAGAGAGTCTCAAAACTCCAGACCGTCGCTGGTCCAGTGGCTAACGCGACGGTCTGGAGTGTTGAGACTCTCTGATCGCGGGTTCTATCCCCACCCGTGGTATGGTTTGCTAAAACGCTTCGTAATAAGACTTGACTGAGAACTCATGAAGGGGCGCTCAACAACTACTGATACACTCCAGAAGGAGACTTGACTGAGAATCATAAAGATGTGAGAGAAGATATCTGTTTCCCCCGCAGACTTGCCCGACCCGTCTCGCAGTACAGCCGTGAGCTTCACCACTCGTCGACGCTCGGGACAGCAGAGAGCCAATCCATACCCCAATTCCCGCTGGTATTACGGCTGAAACCCGACTTCTAGGGCACTGGAATGCCTTCCTTCCGATAGCTGCTACCGGCACTCCTCTGCGGCTCGTGCCTGCAGAACAATGACTGCCAATTTCCCAAGTGCCGCATTACTGGCCCAGAATTTATTGTGACTTACAATGGCTTACTGAAACAGCAAATCGAAGTGATTACTGAAATTGGCCCCGTCGTGCCAAATAATTCCTCGTGGATTTGAAGGGGAATGAGGGAGGGGGGAGAGGGAAGGGGAGAATATTTATTTTCATGGCCTTCGCAGGTCAGGCTGAAGGGGTGGGGATGGAGTAGACGGGTATGTGGGAGGTGGAGGGATGGGGGAGGAAGGGAAGGATGAGGTAAGGAAGGTCGGGTGAGTAAGTGTCGCCTGCCACGGTGACACCTTTCGAATGTTTTGCGTTTGTGTTTCTGGAATTGTAGACAGTTTGTGTGTGTGTGTGTGTGTGTGTGTGTGTGTGTGTGTGTGTGTGTGTGTGTGTGTGTGTGTGTGTGTGTGTGTGTGTGTGTGTGTGTGTGTGTGTGTGTGTGTGCGTGTGTGTGTGTGTGTGTGTGTGTGTATGTGTTTATTCGCCTAGTTGGAGTTGAATGGACACACATCGTAACTGGATACGTCTTGGTCCTGTTAATTTAAACACTCGATCTCTTTTAGTGACCAAAATATATGCAACTGCGTTCTCTCACCCACATTCGGTCTCGTTGTGTTAACAGGAGTTACAGCTCCTGGGACGCCCCTCTACGCACTCGGGTGAACAAGTTTACTTACCCAAGTATTGAACTTACCTCCACTACTTCTTTTTATAACGCATTTCATTTATTCAGTCATATCCCCTTTACTGAAGGAGTTCTTTGTTTTGCAGGAGTAATAACAGTAATACCAGTGGCTGAAGAGGGCGCTATTACTGTAGCAATGAACAGGTGTCAGAAACAATAGCTTGCTTTTCCAGCACCAACGCTTCGCTCTATACCAACACAAAAGCTTCATTTTACTGCGACAATGCTTCACATTGTCAGAATAAAAACTGGTATTACCAGTGACAACATGTAGCTCCGTGTCAGAATTAAAACTTTCATTATCACAACGTTTCGCTCTGTAGCAGTTACTTTTTTGTATATGCAATTTCCTCTATTATGCTGTTCTCTAGTCCTGGGTATCCACGCTAACGATACACACTTCACACACAACGTTCCTGCACAGGGCTCCTCACCAGAGGTCAGCACCATGGAACCAGACTGAACACTTCGGTCTCCTCTTCGACTGTCTCCAGTATTTTAGTCACCCCTGTATTCTCCTGAAGAAGCCTGCTACGCAGACGGAACATTTCAGAAAGATATCAAAGTCTTGGCCATGAGTTTTTATCCATCAACAGCGTGTCAACAGCGCTAAAGGAGTGGCTGAAGATGGGATTACGAAGCAACACAGTAATACCACAAGTTAAATTAACCCTGATGACCAATTAGGGTGCGCTGTTAATATGCATTATGTCGCCGCTCAGGTAGTTTAGCCTCTCTGTTTGTTAGGTAAGACACATATGCAACAGTTAGGTATCTTTATTTTGAAACGTTTCGCCTACACAGTAGGCTTCTTCAGTCGGGTACAGAAAAGTTGATAGAAGCAGAAGATACTTGAAGACGATGTAATCAGTCCATCACCCTTAAAGTTTTGAGGTGGTCAGTCCCTCAGTCTGTCGGTATTTTATACCATTTTAATGTTCTCTCTGTTTGTGCTCTGTTGACTATTGTCTTGACTGTTTATGACCTCGTGATTGTGTTGCTGCCTTCATGACTGTGTTTCTGCTTTCATGACCTTGTTACTGCCTTCATGAGTGTAGTTTTGCTTTCATTACTGCCTTCGTGGATGTGTTTCTTCTTTCGTGTATATGATTCTTCTATCATGATTGTTTCTCTCAAAAATTTGAGGTGGAATGTCTTTAGAGGACCCTCACTTGAAGGGGGGTGACTTGATGCTGGTGAAGGGCTCTAGATCCAAGGAACTGGCTCAACATTAATAACAATAATTATTAATCTCCTTTAGTTGAAAAAAAAGTTAAACACATTAAAGGTCAAATTTTGACATGTGCACATTAGTACTACCATGTGCACATTAGTACTACCATGTGCACATTAGTACTACCATGTGCACATTAGTACTACCATGTGCACATTAGTACTACCATGTGCACATTAGTACTACCATGTTCACATTAGTACTACCATGTGCACATTAGTACTACCATGTGCACATTAGTACTACCATGTGCACATTAGTACTACCATGTGCACATTAGTACTACCATGTGCACATTAGTACTACCATGTACACATTAGTACTACCATGTTCACATTAGTACTACCATGTGCACATTAGTACTACCATGTGCACATTAGTACTACCATGTGCACATTAGTACTACCATGTGCACATTAGTACTACCATGTGCACATTAGTACTACCATGTGCACATTAGTACTACCATGTGCACATTAGTACTACCATGTGCACATTAGTACTACCATGTGCACATTAGTACTACCATGTGCACATTAGTACTACCATGTTCACATTAGTACTACCATGTGCACATTAGTACTACCATGTGCACATTAGTACTACCATGTGCACATTAGTACTACCATGTGCACATTAGTACTACATGTACACATTAGTACTACCATGTTCACATTAGTACTACCATGTGCACATTAGTACTACCATGTGCACATTAGTACTACCATGTGCACATTAGTACTACCATGTGCACATTAGTACTACCATGTGCACATTAGTACTACCATGTACACATTAGTACTACCATGTTCACATTAGTACTACCATGTGCACATTAGTACTACCATGTGCACATTAGTACTACCATGTTCACATTAGTACTACCATGTGCACATTAGTACTACCATGTGCACATTAGTACTACCATGTTCACATTAGTACTACCATGTGCACATTAATGTGTGCAAATTGTAGTATGTGTACATGGAAATCTGCTTGTCCAAGGTTATTAAAAAAAATTCCAGCTTTGATGAAAAATTTGTTTTAGAGATATATTAAAATGATATTTCGTGGCTAGATCGGTAGCGCACTCGGCTCGCACACTGATGTCCGGGGGTCAATCCCCGGTACGGGTAGAAACATTAGGACGTGTTTCCTTAATATACCTGCAGTTCAATGTTTACCCATTAGTAAAATGGGTACTTGGGTAGTAACAGACTGGTGTGGGTTGCATCCTGGGGCAAAATTGATCTAATTTGCTCGAAATGCTCTGCATAACCAGGGGCTTTCTGTACAGTATGTCACTGATGCCAGCTATGCCCACATACCTTGTACATGTACTTGTAGAAATAAAGGTTATTATTATTATTATTATTATTATTATTATTATTATTATTATTATTATTATTATTATTATTATTAGTAGTAGTAGTAGTAGTAGTAGTAGTAGTATCTTTACTCGTTGAGCTCTGGGAGAAAAGGTGTCAGAGACCTTTTGAGCCCCGTTGAGCACGGGAACACATCGTTGTTCTAACTTTCTTCCTCCTGTGGGAAACGACACTTTCGTACAGCTCAGGACATTTATTACGGGAAACATTTCGCCCTGAGAGTGGATCATCACTCCCAATAATTCCTTAGAAGTGAGGAATCCAAAAGAGGTTAAACGCAAGTGTGCTTTCTTTTGCACATTATGTCAGTGTTACCAAACCAATTACAAAATTCTTCCTTCTGTTGCAGGAGTAATCAACCTTTTAACTATTCCAGACCTTCAGTGGATTACCCAATATATCCTCATACTCTGCCAGTCCTATGAAGTGCCAGTATGACGTCAGAAGATGTCAATAACTTGGTTTCACTCGACATATGGATTGCTAGGAACAGAACAGCTGATAGATTATTCTCTTCTAACCACTTCTTATTTTAAATTGTTCAGAGATCGAGTTTTTTACCCACATTATTTGCATGTCATATACACAGGGGTTTAGACAACCCCAGTATGAGAGATGAATATAAAGATTATTAGGATTATTAAAGATGCGTGTACACTGAGAGATAATCAGTGTATATGCAATTATATTAATCATGATTATTAATTAATTAATAATTACAAATAAATATTTCTTCCCCTAACTCTTCAAAATATATCTGGTCTGTGATATGCCTTCAGAAAAACTCACCTTGAATAATACCCTCAGTAAGATTTGTCAGGAAACAGGATAAGTGTTTCTTGGCTCGGGTCTTATATGATGAACCGCCGTTGGAGCTTCTGGACATCTGACCGATGCCTTCCCCTGGCTTACCGGTCCACCCCTTTAAAAATTTTGGTTATAGTTATAACCATTTTGTAATAAGGAAATCAAAAGTATTGGTTTATATTTAAGTAATGTATTTAAAACGATTTATTTTCAAAATATATACATATTTATATATTAGAGATATCAGAGGTAAGAAAAACAATGTGAAAATGACTTGAGGAATATACATTATACATGTTGTTTCTGTTCCACTTTCAGACACCACCTGTGGTGACCCCATCTGTCTGTTACTCATAGTAACAGACAGATGGTCCTGATCTGTCTTCATTTTTCAGAACTCGCTCACCATTTTTCTCGTTGTTAGTATGTCACACAGGTGGGCGAAACGTCGTCAACAAAGGTCCCATATAAATATATTTATGTCGGTATCTCATTCCAATACCTACTCTTTCTGTTTCAAACGTTGAAATCCAGTCTGGTCATTTGGTTACAGAGTCCCGCATGATGGGACTAAGAAGTCTATTCTCATTAATACATGGGTATAGATCATTCCAGGTCAGATTTGTCAATATTGTCAAGACAGCTGAACCTATTCGAAATGCTTGTTGCCACGACTTAAAGTGACAGATCTGGAGCTGTCAAGATAAAGTTCTTCGAACTGGCTTCAGGAACTTATGATCAAGCTGAGTGCTTTTTGACTTTATCCATAGGACCTATGACCTTTTCTTTATGTCATGTAGAGTGACATGTCTTCGTAACTTCGTGACACGCCGATGGACATGGCTTCATGTAGGCTGAGCTGCTTCTAAAGCCTGTAACATGACCATGAGCATGCAGACATGGTCATATTTCCGAGAGTTGACATGGTTCACAAGCGATGACCAAGATTCAGGATCTTGTGAAGCAAACTAGTTGGGTTATTGAGGCTAGGACTTTTGGTAGTTTCAATTTAGGTTGGATAAATATATGAGTGAGAGGGGTTGGATTTGAGTGGGACTTGCAAATGAGTGGATAGAGTTATCAGAGCTTATTTCTTGGGTAGCATTGAAGATTGGGTTTGACAAATGCTTTTTTAGTGGGATGGATTGTAAAGGACCTGCTTAGTATGGGCCAACAGGCCTGCTGCAGTGATCCTCTTTTCTTATGTTTTTATGTTTAACCAGATTTGGGACCGTGGAAATGAGATCAGAACCGGTGCCACTAACTGCTTTCACGAGAGGAGAGATTATCTGCTTTCGTGACTTATAACAAGACGTGAAAGTGACCGTGGCTTGACTCTGGAACCTGGAAGATGACTTGTAAGTTGAGCAGGCTTCAAGGAGCCTATTAGGAAACCAGCCTTCATGACCAGTAACCAGGCTCAGGGACATATGGTGAGAAGTGCTTCACAGTGTGCATGACTCATCGGCTTCCAGGATTATTGGGTCCAAACATGCAGGTCGACATGTCTGCCTCGGCATCATTTCATCTGTAAACAAAAGCAAACAAATGATTAATTATATCTCATTAGGAAAAGTTCTTTCCACCACTTAAATTACATCCAGCCACCCACACACTCACTAATTTGTTGTCGTGTCAACAGCCTTGTAAGTTTGTCTTATCTTACCAGACTTGAGGGATAATTTAAACTTTTCTAGCTAGCAGCTGGCTAACTTAAGTTCACCCCAGGCTGGGTGAAGACGAGACTTGAAGGTCAGAGTAGGTTAAAGAATCATCGTATCATTTGCTTGCTTTGAAACTCTCTTTTTTAATCTTGAATTGTTATAATAATAATATATAATAATAATAATAATAATAATAATAATAATAATAATAAAAATAATATAATAATAATAATAATAATAATATTATTATTATTATTATTATTATTATTATTATTATTATTATTATTATTATTATTATTATATTATTATTATATATATATAAAATTATTTTTATTATTATATTATTATTATTATTATTATTATTATTATTATTAAATTATTATTATTATTATTATTCGTTAGTTTTTCTATGTATTTCTGCGCGTCCAGCAAACTTTTTACTCATCTACCGCTATTTTCTTACTGGTAATATTCCTTTACTAGCAATATTGCCAAACAAGTAGAAACAACATTATTGCCACGACGCAAGGACTGTCACCTTCCTAAGACTATAACCACACACGCAGTACTAACGTTGTTTTCACAGTAAATATACTGTTACCACGCCAAGTAATGTAATACCATCACCACACACATAAAATAAAAAATTACCATACAGTGCTGACAATATTGCCATACAAATAGTACTGACAGCATTACCATACACGCAGTAACTGCAGTATTACCACACAGAAACTACAGCATTACCACACAAGCAGTAGCTGCAGTATTACCACACAAGCGGTAAGTACAGTATTACCACACAAGCAGTAACTGCAGCATTACCACACAAGCGGTAAGTGCAGTATTACCACACAAGCAGTAACTGCAGTATTACCACACAAGCGGTAAGTGCAGTATTACCACACAAGCAGTAACTGCAAAATTACCACACAACGACGGTAAGTACAGTATTACCACACAAGCAGTAAGTGCAGTATTACCACACAAGCGGTAAGTGCAGTATTACCACACAAGCAGTAACTGCAGTATTACCACACAAGCGTAAGTGCAGTATACCACACAAGCAGTAACTGCAGTTTTAAACCACACAAGCGGTAAGTACAGTATTACCACACAAGCAGTAACTGCAGTATTACCACACAAGCGGTAAGTACAGTATTACCACACAAGCAGTAACTGCAGTATTACCACACAAGCGGTAAGTGCAGTATTACCACACAAGCAGTAAGTGCAGTATTACCACACAAGCGGTAAGCGCAGTATTACCACACAAGCAGTAACTGCAGTATTACCACACAAGCGGTAACTGCAGTATTACCACACAAGCAGTAACTGCAGTATTACCACACAAGCGTTAAGTGCAGTATTACCACACAAGCAGTAACTGCAGTATTACCACACAAGCGTTAAGTGCAGTATTACCACACAAGCAGTAACTGCAGTATTACCACACAAGCGGTAAGTGAAGTATTACCACACAAGCAGTAACTGCAGTATTACCACACAAGCGGTAAGTGCAGTATTACCACACAAGCAGTAAGTGCAGTATTACCACACAAGCGGTAAGCGCAGTATTACCACACAAGCAGTAACTGCACAGGAGTATTACCACACAAGCAGTATTACCACACAAGCGGTAACTGCAGTATTACCACACAAGCAGTAACTGCAGTATTACCACACAAGCGTTAAGTGCAGTATTACCACACAAGCAGTAACTGCAGTATTACCACACAAGCGTTAAGTGCAGTATTACCACACAAGCAGTAACTGCAAGTATTACCACAACAAGCGGTAAGTGCAGTATTACCACACAAGCAGTAACTGCAGTATTACCACACAAGCGGTAAGTACAGTATTGCCACACAAGCAGTAACTGCAGTATTACCACACAAGCGGTAAGTACAGTATTGCCACACAAGCAGTAACTGCAGTATTACCACACAAGTGGTAAGTGCAGTATTACCACACAAGCAGTAACTGCAGTATTACCACACATTCAGTAACAACATTACAGCCACAAAAGCATCAGTAGTACTTTAAGCTGTTTGTGCCTAGAGTTTAAATTGTCACCCAAAAAACCATACGCTTTGTTTCTGAAGAATATACATTTATGTATAAACATCGAGTTTGAGCCGTGGCTCTGGAGGGTCCAGAGGTTCCATGAATATTGTAACTTTCTTTTTCGTTCTACACTTCAAACATTAGACGATTTTTATATATCGAGTTATCTCTTAGCGGTTTTGTACTTTTCACTGTATTTAGAGCAAATGGTCACTGGTAACGGCAGCTATGGTGGACAGAGACAATATTTTGCTGTGATATTAACAATGATGATTGATTCCAACGTCAGATTTTGTCTGTTGTTACCGTAGAGATTGACCCAGCCCAAGTCTGTTATGTTGATGTCCGTTACATTGATGGTTAGCTGTTTGATAACCTTTATTGCAGTAATTTCCATGTTTTATCTCCTTATTTTACACTGTCTACCACCTTATTTTAACTCTGTCGCTCTAATTTGTACCATCCACCGACTTATTTTCTCAGTTTATAGTGTGATGAAAAAAATCTTTCTCTTAAGCTGACTCCTGTGAACACTCTTTGGAATTGTTACTGATACTTTCACACACACATACACACACACACACACACACACACACACACACAACACACACACACACACACACACACACACACACACACACACACACACACACACACATACAGCAGTACATTTGCCACACAGTCAGATCCTAGATTTGGGATCTGGCTGTGTGTCAAAAACACTGTGTACGTTGATGCAGAGTGCTCTGGTTCGAATCCGTCTGTGTACTGAGAGATAGTGTAAATATCATACCTTCAACAGAGCTTGGATGCTAAGAAAGTAGGTCCATAAGCCAGCCACGGAGAACCACAGCAACTGCTACCACGATTGGAAGAGCGCTACCGCCTACACCAGGGTGGCAGAGGGCGGCCAGACTGATGCCGCCCTGGTACACCGCCGCCCTCAGCTCATCTGCTGCCGCCCATCACAGACACAAGAGGATTAGTTGACGTTGTAACTAGTTCTGGTAAAAGCTGAAGAAAAAGACTCCTGAAGAGGGGGAGGCGTTAATGTTACGAAAGTTGTGGAAAAGAGAAATACTGACTTAATTGTTCAGAAGTCCAGGAACTGCTGACCTGAATGTTTAAAAGATCAGCAACTACTCAGCGTATATATATCTTTTGATATATATATATATATATATATATATATATATATATATATATATATATATATATATATATATATATAAATATTATATATATATATATATATATAATATAATATATATATATATATATATATATATATATATCGTGCCGCTGAATATGTAAAACTGGTCAATTAGCAAGAACTCATTTAAAATTAAGTCCTTTCTAAAATTTTCTCTTATACGTTTAAAAATATATTTTTTCATTATTGTTGATGTAAAAATTTATAATTTTGCGGCAAAAGGAACTTAGAAAACTTACCTAACCTTATTATAACAAGCGCAATTTATTTTAGCCTAACCCAGATTTGTTTACAATAATTTAATACTAAACAAACACAGTGAAATATATTTTTTCGTTAGGTTCAGAATGATTTTGGCGAAATTATTGCATACACAAATTTTCACTTGTCCTATATGGCAAGATGAGCGTTTGCTACTTAAGCCAAGATCGCAAGTTCTGCCTATCCGCACGACATATATATATATATATATATATATATATATATATATATAAATATATTATATATATATATATATATATATATCGTGCCGCTGAATATGTAAAACTGGTCAATTAGCAAGAACTCATTTAAAATTAAGTCCTTTCTAAAATTTTCTCTTATACGTTTAAAAATATATTTTTTCATTATTGTTGATGTAAAAATTTATAATTTTTGCGGCAAAAGGAACTTAGAAAACTTACCTAACCCTTATTATAACAAGCGCAATTTATTTTAGCCTAACCCAGATTTGTTTACAATAATTTAATACTAAACAAACACAGTGAAATATATTTTTTCGTTAGGTTTTCAGAATGATTTTGGCGAAATTATTGCATACACAAAATTTTCACTTGTCCTATATGGCAAGATGAACGTTGCTATTTAAGCCAAGATCGCAAGTTCTGCCTATTCGGCACGACATATATATATATATATAAATATATATATATAATATATATATATATAATAATATATATATATATATATATTTTGCAAGGAATTCGCGAGAGCATGCGAATATACACAAACACTGATCTCTGGCTGAAGGAGACTCGAACCAAACGAACCTTTGGACAAGGTATGCAGTGCTTTACCAATCTACCCACACTGGACCAATACCTTGGCGTGTAGCATGCGCTACACGTTTGATCCAAGGCAGCCAGCTTTCAGGGAGAAGGCTTACAGTTTTTCATCTCATCCCCTGCATGCATCAGCCTTACTAAGATTGAGTTCCTTGCATTGTTCAAATCTCTAGTAAGGCTGATGCATGCAGGGGATGAGATGAAAAGCTGTAAGCCTTCTCCCTGAAAGCTGGCTGCCTTGGATCAAACGTGTAGCGCATGCTACACGCCAAGGTATTGTCCAGTGTGGTAGATTGGTAAAGCACTGCGTACCTTGTCCAAAGGTTCGTAGGTTCGAGTCTCCTTCAGCCAAGATCAGTGTTTGTGTATATTTCGCATGTTCTCGCGAATTCCTTGCATAATATATAAATATAATATATATATATATATAATATATATATATATATATATATATATATATATATATATATATATATATATATATATATTATATATATACTCCAAGAGCTGTATATCTCTCGCTGCGTATACCCCCAGGGCTGCGTATATCAGAGTGCATAAACCCCAATTTTAGGATTCAATTATTATTGACTGCTAGTGTTTAGGTTACATGCAACCTTAATGACCATCGTGCAACTGAGAGGCTTTATACCCAACGATCCAGCCAATCCAGGTCAATCACATCCATTTCAACTAATTGTTGACGAGTGTTTAGAATGTCGGATGGGGGATTTGATTCTACGATTTGAATCCAAATGGCGTATTCATTCCACTCTCTTGAGAGCTTTGTCACGTTATCTTGACTTGATCAAGCTGTACACAGAGCGAAACCTTGTCACAGTTAAGCTTAATCTGTAGTCTGTTGATTTTCATCGGTGTCCGAATTATTGCAGGGATTTACAATGTACAGAAAAAGGGGACACAACGCGCTTAGTTGTATCCCACAAAAATAGCTGGGTATAAATAGGTAATTTCCCACACAATGCAGTTCTCATACTCAATAAATTTCTCATTAGCAAGTTGTGCCAATACGTGTTCAAAAGTGGTCACCCATAAATTAAAAGTTGACTGAGCGAATACAAACGCTGCTCATGATTCAGTCAATATTACCTCGAAAAATCCAGTACAGAGAAATTCCTCCATTAATTATATTGGAGGATATATCATCACTGTCTCCTGTTTTATTCATCTTTTTTTGTAGTTTTGGAATCATTTTTATTTTTTTTTTATTCTGTTAGGGCAAGGGTTTCCAACCTGTTGTGCCGCACCCCCACGGGGTAGGAGATGGCGTTTCAGGGGATGGGAGATGGCATTTCAGGAGGTGTGGCAAAGTCCAAATGAAAAACATAATTCCGTTTATTTTACAAAAATCTGTTCTAATTGCTCGATTTATATTTGTATTTCATGCAAATGTGATATTATTTTTGTAGAGGATACAACATTAATCACATATTTTCTAGGGGTGTCTAAAATATTTTTTAGGAGTTAGTTAACTATAAAGATATGTGTACGAAGATATAATACTAATTTAACTCGATTTAATCTTCCCAAAATTAATCCATATCTAATTTTAAATGGCATATGCAGATAAATAGGCATAACTTCGTAATGCACAAAAAATTTCACGTACCACACATGTTCCTGTACCGTAAAACCTACCGTTGTTGACATGGACGGACACAGATGCTGTGGGAGCGTTGACGGGGACGCAGGTGTAGTTACCAGAATCTGATTCCTTTACTGCTGAGAGAAGCAGCCGAGATGTGGTCTGCTCCCCTGACTTCTCCACCTGAAGGAGGCGGAATCAGTGATTATATTTAGGTATCGTAGCTGGCGATTAGTTTATGGAAGATCGAACCTTCATCGTTCCTTACGCTGAATGACAAATTTAGTGTAGGAGCAATTAGCAAATATAATTAGGTACAGTGAGTATCCAGTAGTTAGAAGCAACAAGTGAGTATAATTAGGGGCAATAAGGCAGCATAGTTAGGTATGTGATTAGCGTAATTGTTAACAGGAAAGTGACATAAAAACTTTGGAGATAGAGAAAAAAATCAGGATGAGAAACGGCTATCATGGCTAGAGTCTAGAAGGAGACACTACTGTGCTGAAGAAATGTAATTCTAGCCATTACGGTGAGAAACTAGTGACATAAATATTGTTGTAGCCTTGATGGCGAGACAATAGTGACATGAAGAAAAGTAATTCTGGCCTGGAGGACGGAACTAATTTGAACAAATTCCAATTGTAAAATACAGAGCTGTAGTTGTAATATATAAGGAGAATACAGTAATGATACACAACAATATCTGGAGAAAGCTATCTCTAATCAGGAGGGTAAAAGTACTGAGAAGAGAAATAAGGAAGTTTTTAACTTCCACGACGAGAATACTAACCTGAAGGGAAATGCCACCTCTTGGAGAGTCGTAGTCCAGGACACTGTGGTCGTGGTACCAGAGAACAGCCGTGGGCGGTGCGCGGGTGTGAGTAACAACACACTCTAGAGAGAGGGAAGATCCAGCCTGTAGGAACCTCGCTCCCCCGCCCACGATGTGGGTCCCGTACTCTCCTGTAGGAAGATGTGGGTCAGTACACTACTGCTGGAGGTATGGGCGTTTTGGCTCTCCTTCATTGTGGGTTTTAGTTACCTCTGAGGAGCTAAAGAAAAAAGAACTTAATACTTTACGTAATCCATTATTGTATATAATATAATATGCAATTTAACCACAGTAAAAGGTAATTAAATTCCAAGAACTATCATGATCCCTTCGTCACATTGTCAAAGTATAATTTCTGGTAAATAAGGTCGAGTCATCCTGATATTGCTAGGAATTTAATTGTTACTGATGTTAAATTTTATACTAAGATAATATTTGTCTCGTATGCCGGAGAAAATATATTTATTGGGTCGTTTCGCTTCTCTAACCTTTGCATTAATTGATCAACACTGGGAAGTAAGGTATAATGGCACGACCTTAAAATTTCATGTCTGTTTGCACCCGTTGATGGCATTTTTAGCAACTTGTTTAGAAAGTCACCTATTGCTTCTGTTGTCCGTATCATTACTTTCACTTCCATCACTCCTGTCACTTTCTACTACTCCTTTCACCTCCCATCACTCCTGTCACTTTCTATTACTCCTTTCACCTCCCATCACTCCTGTCACTTTCTATTACTCCTTTCACCTCCCATCACTCCTATCACTTTCTATTACTCCTTTCACCTCCCATCCCTCCTGTCACTTTCTATTACTCCTTTCACCTCCCATCACTCCTGTCCCCATCATTCCTGTCATCTCCATCAATACCACCACGCTCTGGGGTACATGAAAGGGCTCCTTCATATTGGCACTGCTCTCCCAAGAGAGTCTTCCTGCCCATCAAGGCGAACTTTACAGTAATCAGACATCACCTGCCATCTTCAAGACAACACATCTCACCTCACTGACAAACTTTCCTTCGTGTGTTGTGTATATTATGGTATAATTATAAGTGGAGGAAATATATTGCCTCAGAAACGAAGATACAGGGACAGGTTATAAGAGAAGTTTCTATTGGGGTAAGTTTCTCGCAAAGTGTACAGTGTAGAGTGTCTTTTGAATCCAGTTATATCGTGCTTGAAGTAATCCCTCTATTCAGAAGGTAGACCTGTGTTTGTCTCCCAGTTAGCAAATGGAGTATCGAGCATTCAACACTCAGTGAGCTGAATGAGGGCTAAGCGATTAGCATAAAATAAACTTATTAACAAATATACTACTCCGATAATCTGCTTTCAGCTTTGATGAGCTTAACCTAGTTATTACAGGAGCTTGTTAAGAAATGCCAAATATTAATACAGATTGTAAGGTATTATCTGTGATTCCCATGTCATTTATAATACGTTAATATCAATGTTAATCAGTAAGAATATTACTCAATGTTTACTTAAAAGTGTGAAATAAGGATAATTCTTGTGTAAAACAGTAATGAGAAATATTTGTCTAAAGTACGAGATTGAATGTGTGTGTGTACTCACCTATTTGTGGTTGCAGGGGTCGAGTCATAGCTCCTGGCCCCGCCTCTTCGCTGATTGCTACTAGGTCCTCTCTCTCCCTGCCCCATGAGCTTTATCATACCTCGCCTTAAAACTATGTATGGTTCCCGCCTCCACTACGTGTGTGTGTGTGTGTGTGTGTGTGTGTGTGTGTGTGTGTGTGTGTGTGTGTGTGTGTGTGTGTGTTACAAAAAACGCGATTCTAAAAGCTTAGAGATCTCCAGTGAATACTAGAAAGGACTGCCCGTCTAGCACCAGCCTGTTACTGGGTTTTCGTAACAATTAGTCAGTATCCTTGTTCAATTATCCATTAGAATTCAGTATGATTCAATAGTGCTTCAGGATTACAACTGGTAGGCTACTAACTAGAGAAATTAAAATTTAATAAATTTATTAAGTCTAGAGGTATATTATCAAATTAAATTAAATTAATAATGATCAAAATAATAATAATCACTTCCCTCGTGTATAATATTATTGTGCTGAAAGCACATATCACATTTATAATTCTTAAGTACCGTCTGGTACATTAACATTTAATAAGATATTACAAATATGTACAAGTTTGTGTGTAAGTGTGTAAGTGCTCTAAGTAGTTCGCTATGTCTCACGACTCGACTAGACTTAAACAAGTGACTGACAAAGTCCTCAAATAAACTAAGCTCTTGACCAACTGGCAATCAGAACAGTCTGCTTGAACAATAAAAAGAATGCTAAGCCCAATAGCAATATAACAAGCAACTGCGACACAGAATCAGGAACAAGGAGATAATATAGCGACACTAAGTAGGGACCATCAGCAGATCCTCCACAAAAGTCACAAAACTCCCATACTACTGAATCTAAGTTCAGCATAAGAAAATCCCCGACTGTGATAATACACAGATACCAGTACAAGTTAGGTCAGAAGCTACAGTTCAGGACCTGAGTTGCTCAAAGTGTCTATGAGACACACAACCTCAGTATAACGTCGAAAATCACTAAGTCTATACAATGTTCTGTGAACAGAGTTCTACAGAGCTAACAAGAATAATGAGACAGACAATCTGTCCAACCACCAAGAGAGTCTAGACCAGACTGAATACTTCAGGCGAGGTGAGGACACCCCCCCCCCCTCGATCACGTGATAGCTCCGTGGACAGCTGCTGCTCAGTAACAGAAGCCGGCAGTCTAACGAGCAAAGAGCGATAATTACAGTAGTTACACAATCAAGACTTGAACTTTGAGCACATACCCCTCAAGGAAGGTTCCTTGATGTTGGTGAGGGGCTCTTGATTTAGGGAATTAGATCTGTGCTCCAGTTCCCCGAATTAAGCCTGAATGCCTTCCACATCCCCCCTCCCAGGCGCTGTATAATCCTCCGGGTTTAGCGCTTCCCCCCTTGATTATAATAATAATAATTTGAGCACATAATAATGTGTTACTTCTATCTGGTAGTATCCCGTAACATGTGGTGCATGAGATTTGCCAGCACCACATCCATCATCCTTGGCTCTCCCCTGTTTCGGGGACCCCCACGGTGTCTCCAGGTTTTCCATCAATCTCCCTGTGATTGGAAAGTCGCATAATGACCATTAACATCGCTCTAGCTTGAGTGAGCCCTTCTTGCCACTTCAGCTAGAGTGTCCACGCATTTGCTCTGTTGCACTCATCATATTCCTCTCTTGGCCTCTCTGCAGTTCTGTGTTCGGGTTAACATCACTGCATAAGGTGTGTGTGTGTGTGTGTGTGTTGTGTTTGGTTGGTGTGTGTGTACTCCACCTATTTGTGGTGAGCAGGTCGAGTCCTAGCTCCTGGCCCCCGCCTCAACACCGGTTAGCTACTAGACCCTCTCTTTTAGTAACTCCCCGCTCCATGAGCCTTTATCAAACCTCGTCTTAAAAACGTGGTATGGTTCCAGCCTCCACTAGGCTACGTCATTTTTCTAGGCTATTCCACTGCCTTACAACTCTATGACTGAAGAAAATACTTCCTACTATCTCTCGACTCATTTGTACTTCACTTCCAATTGTGGCCTCTTGTTCTGTGTCAACCTCCCTGGAACATCCAGTCCTTGTCCACCTTGGTCTATTCGCGCAGTATTTTATATGTCGTTAGCATGTCACCCCTGACCCTCCTGTCCTCCAGTGTCGTCAGGGGCCTATTTCCCCTTAAATCTTTCTTCATATGACATTCCCCGCATTACACTGGAACTAACCTTTTGCAAAACCTTTGTACTTTCTCTATTTTCTTCTTGACGTGCTTTATCAAGTGCGGTTCCAAAACAGGTGCTGCAAACTCCAGTTATGGGCCAGACATACACGGTGTAACAGTGTGTCTTGAATGATTCCTTGCTAAGGTGTCGAATGGCTGTACTCAGGTTTCTTTGCAGGCGCCAATATGCTGCATGCAGTTTATCTGATTGATGTCTGTGCTTCCCGGAGCAGATGCTCGGTGTTATACTCACGCCCAAGATACTTCTCCATTGAGTGAGGTTTGCAGTCTTTGCCACCTAGGCCTATACTCTGTCTTTTGTGGTCTCTGTGCCCTTCCCCTATCTTCATGACTTTGCATTGGACCAGGATTAAATCGAGAGCCCATTTGCAGACCAGGTGTCCAGCTGTCCAGGTCTCTTGAATCCTGGCCTGGACCTCATCAAGATTTAATTCTCCTCATTAACTTCACATCATCGCAACAGGACACTTCTGAGTCTAACCCATCGTCATGTCGTTCACAATAATACCAAAAATAGCACTTGTTCCTAGGACCGACCCTGTGGGAGTGGTGACCCCGCTCGTCACAGTCCTTACACCAGTGATACATCATACGTACCATGACTCGTTGTGCCTCCCTGTCAGTATTCTCTGGATCCATTGCAGTGCCTTCCTGTATATATGCGCCTGATTGCTTACTTCTGCAACTAATCTCTTGTGAGGAACTGTGTCAAAGGCCTTCTTGCAGTCCAAGAAGATGCAATCAACCCACCCCTCTCTCTCTGTTCTTACTTCTGTTATTATATCATAAAACTCCAGAAGGTTTGTGACCACAGGATTTGCCTGTGTGTGTGTGTAATGTGTGTGTGTGTGTGTGTGTGTGTGTGTGTGTGTGTGTGTGTGTGTGTGTGTGTGTGTGTGTGTGTGTGTGTGCGTGTGTGTGTGTGTGGAGAAACAGGAGGGTGAGTCCCTCTTCGAATCTTAGTGAACGGCTCAATATATTTTAACCAACTATCAGTACCATGGCATGACCTCCCTAATGATGTGTGCGAGGCGAGGAACCTCCCTCATATTATTACACACATGTTTGATGCTTAAAAATTTCTGCCATTATTATTTTCACACAGCACCTACACACACGACACACACGGACACACACACACATCACACACACACACACACACACAACACCCATCACACACACACACATACACAACACACACACACAACACACAGCACACATAGATATATATATATATAATAAATATATATATATAAAAATGATATATATATATATATAAATATTATAGTATTGAGAGAGATAGAGTGAATTATATATAATGAA